TGGTGCGTGCAGGTCTGGATGAAAGGGAGCAAAAGTTGTCTAAGCAAGATGTTAGAGTGGAGCAAAGAATGTCAGTAGCAGTGTTTGTGTCCAGTGCTGAAAACTGAGAGGGTGGAGGATATATATATAATTTGCCTTATTATTATACATATACATATTTATGCATATTTTTATGTTTTATATTATATTATATTGAATTAAATATAAACACACATTATATTATATTATATTATATTATATTATATTATATTATATTATATTATATTATATTATATTAATGTATTTGTATATTTATAATTATGTATAATAGTTTTTTCTTATTTTGGGTTGTCATACATTAGTTTTATCATGCACATTATTCATGCAATGAATTACACCTGTGTGAACCTGAGGGTACCTGACTTCATACGTAAAATTAAAATAAAAATGACCTTTGGACCGCAGCTGTTTAAGAAAAATTGCACAAATAGTTAAGTTAGATCTGACAAAAGGTCAGAAATCATGTGTTTTCAGATGACATTTGATTTGTTATATCTAATGCAATGGCATTTATGAATTAAAATAAGGCCTAAGTATCCAAATGCTTCTGGGGCCACTAAACAAGCTATAGACTGTACTGTAGAATCAGAAGTGCACTACATCATAAGCTGTTTCAAAATTTCCTTTCAATTCTCCTTGCTTCTTTACACCCAGAACGCTTGACCTAAATGTGACAGAAAACAGTTTTCCAGCTGGCACATATTTAACTCAGTATGTATATTATAAATGAATCAGTTTTATCCTCTGCGTCAAGTGCTGTATGAGAGAGAACATTTCATACTGAGGTGTGGCAACATCCGCCTCCACCAACATGGGTACATGGATGCAGCATCCCTGCTTCCCCATTGGCTACAGAGACGGTGGAACGATGACATACAGATCTCAGACAGAGTTCAGCCATTGGCCATTAGAAATACGAGGACACATGTGCGCGCACACACACACACACACACACACACTCAGCACATTGGTTTAGGGGATTTAGATTGTGTGGGTTCGTCAGAACACGCTGAACTAATAAGGAATGCTTAAGATTATTAATGAGGCCTTTGGAATGTGGGCTGAGAAGCCTTTATAATGGAAATGGTCCTGATAGATTATGGCCCAAAAGCCAAAAATACTCCCACACCCCCCTTTTCCCCAAGTGCGATTTGTCCTGCTGAGTTTGGTCCGTCCTTTTGATGTTGAACAGCACGTGAGGTCTTAAATAGCAGGTGCAGTTGCAGGAGAGTAAATCTCACAGAAACACGTCTAGGTCACATTTCACCCTAAAGTCTAAATATATAAAATAATACTTTATTTTTTCTGGCAGTTTCATTATTGTAATGCATCCAGACAATTGTTTTATTATTTTATTTTATTTATTATGTAGTCATTTAAACATTTTTGTTGTGCTAATGTACTTTATTTATTTATTAGTTAAATTACACCGAATATAATGAGAACTGTAATGGTTCATAATAAAAGACCTTTTTATTTCAGTATATATATATATATATATATATATATATCATGTATATTTACATTGAAATAAGATTTTACACATATTGAAATATGGTACAATAAATATATAAATGTCTAAAAAAATCTTGATGATCATAAAATAGAATTTCCTAAAGCAAAATATAACTTAAAATTTTTATCATTTCTATGTTGTTGTTTTTTGGCATGAAATGTGACATTTTTAACAGCTTTCATGAGATTCACTTATAAACTATACACTAATTTGATTGGAGGAAAGATGGTCATGTATTGCTTATATTGTGTACCAATGGAAATGTGCTTTGTGCACCTGTCTTTGCATGTCTTCTCTTTCCAGGGACGAATGACAATTGACATGGAGCTTCACCTTCCCAAAAATTCCAAAATCCTACCCAAGTCCAACCCGTTAGTCCACTATGACGTGTTCCTCTATAAAGTGGCCAAATCGCCAGCGCACGGCAGGGTAAAGCACAGGGTGAGATGGGAGGACTGTAAATATTGTGTGTATGAGTCTCCCTTCTACAGGCCCATCAGCACACGCTCACTGCCTGCAATCATCCACAGGAGGACCTCGCAAGGACATACCATGCACTCTGAGCAGAGACTATGACCAGCATAAGGAGTCATGCTTTAGTTGTCCTCATGGTGCTTGATCAACACTGTAAAAATTTAGACTTTTATACTATCTTAATAAAATGGTGCTCAGATAGTTAATATGTAGTATCAGCTGAATGTAATTAGATCAGGAGAAGCCATTCTCTTAATACTAATGAAATGCACAGCGAATGTTTCTCCAAATAAGATGGTTGCTGAGCTAAGAAGAATTAACATCTCTTGGGAATTTATCATCGGCAGATTGTTTAGAAAACCTTTTTCTGCAAACAATAAATCAGACTTTTAAACAGATCACCTCTTGTTTTTGCACTCATGCAGTTTTTGTAATTTAGGCCTAGCGTGGTAAACAGGTTGAGAAAACGAATGAACACTACCACATGGTCCAGTGCGAAGTGTGTGACACACTAAAAGCCTGCAAGAAAACACAGAAGACAATCCATGAAAAATTTGTTTATGAAATTTAAAAGAGCTTTACATGATTGAATAAAAATTCAAAGCAGGTCCACTGCATGAGGACTTCATTTACCAAGCTACTTTCCACATGCTCACGGAATACGACCAATCTGCCGAACCTGATCTCCGTTTATGAAGTGATGTGTTTTGGGTAACGGCGTCTATGAAGTTCTTACACAGCTCAAGACAAGTTCTTTATTATGGTAAGTACCCCTACAACCCCAGAGCCGAGGTATGTGTGAGTGTGAAGAACAACGACGTGTGGTCAGAGGGGCCTCTGCAATACCAAAAGCAACAGGGCCGTCTCTTGAACCGCAGGGAGGTCCAGGGCCTCTTTGTGTCACATGGGATTAAATTAGCACGGTCCATTAGCTTCTCAGTGACACAAAGACAGTATGGCCTGCTAGTGAAACCTAATACACACACACTCTGTGTCAGAGTTTTGTTTCTCACATTTTCTCTTTTTTACATATTTGTATTTCATAGATCACAGAAAAACGTTAATATTCTCTACAATTAATGTAACTAGTGGGGGTCTAATTATTAAACTGAAAATCACCCACAGTCCACCATGATGCAAAAGTGTATTTTGTCAACCTAACTGTCGACAGTGAAATAAATTCTATAAGAATATCAATAAATAAGTAAAAAGCAGCAAAGATGTGTTCAATTTTTATTAAAATATTATTTAAAAAGTGCAATAAATAAAAAGAGGTATATTTTTAATACAAGACTCCAAAATCTATATGAGACAAATGTATAATGTATGTCATACATGTAGGCCTATGTCAAATGTATATATATTATATATTTGCGCTTTGTGTTTAGACATAACAAAATGCAACACATCTGTGGCAGTCATTTGAACTGAAAAAGACAACGATTTAGTAAAAGGCAAGAAAACGGTTACTTATTATCCTAGGAAAATGGCATGGTCTTTTCTGTCATCTAGTGGTCGAGTATTCCATTAGTAAATATACAAACAAGTGCAGAAACGGGATGGGACTTTTATTTTGACACACACGTACTCTTTTCTCTTTACTGTTGCCGCTCGCTTGTCGCTTCACTACTACACAAGACGCTTGTGTAACTAACAGCAGAAGCCGTGTTGTCCAAATTATACAATTATATGCAGGTAAAAAATACTTTTACTCAATTTTTATGAATGTCATTTATATTTATTAAGTTAGCAGTTGTTTTGGGTTTTAGGCAAACGTTTCCACATTTTGTCTTCCTGTTTATACTCTATGTCAGCAAAGGAAAGTGAAGTATGTCAGAAAGTCTGCAAACATTGTCATTATTTTTTTATTTGTCTTATCTTTCTAAGCAGTTACAAAAAATACGTGTTATTTTCAGGATGTATTGTCGTGTTTCTGTTTTATAATGAGACTCTTACCATCATGTAAAATATGCTGTCAGACTTGCCTCAATATATTTTTGTCACTCGACATATATATTTATATGTTAAGATTTAAGTTTAACTCTGTCCAGTTAACAGATAATGGCCAGTTGGTATTGGAGGACAAAATTTTTCTTCCCTCTTTTGTTTGAATATGATAAATGACAGCAGAGTCACCTTATCAGGGGCCACCACCCTGTCACTCCCATCTGAGCCCACTGGGCACCACACCATTGTTGAACACCCTCCTTCCTAATTATTATCTTTCAAGTCTAGTTAACTGTCAGAGATGCGTTCAGTATCCATTATGACCAAGTAGCTGAATTTGGCTCAGCTTTAATGTTTATTTTCTTTCTTGGATCAGGAAAGGACAGGTTACATGCTTTATCAGTAGCTTTAGTATAATAATACTTGTTATATTATTTACTCATGAACTCGCTGATCGATCTTTGTCGTTTTAGACTTTGGTCAGTCTTGTTGCAGGTGTGGTAGTGTTTGGAGCTGAATGCAGAAGGTCGTAGCAGTGCTTGGTGGGGGGATTGGGGGTCTGTCGGCCTGTCATCATCTGAGCAAGTGTCCTAATGTTTCCAAGGTACAGTATCCACTTATAATTTCCATAAAATCTTTAGTCAATCTGCATTCATACTACCATTTAAAAGTTTGATATTGGTAAGATTCTTGTTTTTGAAAGATGTCTATTATGCTCACTATAAGGCTGCATTTATTTGATCAAAAATACACCAAACAGTAATATTGTGAAATATTATTACAATATTATAAATAGTATTTTCTATGTTAATGTATTTTAAAATAGAATTTATTACTGTGATGGTAAAACTGAATTTTAAGCAGCTGTTAGTCCAGTCTTCTGTGTCAGAAATCATTCAAATGTTATTCTAATATTTTGTAACATTATTAATGTCTTCACTGTCACCGATTCTTGCAGAATAAAAGCGTAAATTTTTTTTTTTTTAAAGTAATTTCTTTTCAAAAAATCTTACTGTCCCCACACTCTTCAACTCTTCAAAATTTAATCCACCTTTTACTCTGTCTAGTGTTTTTATCATTTAGATCAGGGTTCTTCTCATGCCAAGAGCCTCTTGTCGCATAATGAATTAATGTAGAACATTTAGTTGAACTTCTTAACTTCATTTTCATATTTAAATTTGTACACAAGAATAATAATTTTGGGGTCAAAATTGAAAACCGTTAATTTACCATCACAGACTCAACTTTCCTAAAAAGCAAATAAACTTTCCCTGCTGCATTTCTCATGGTTCAGAGCTGCTTTGAAGCCTCGGGATCTAGACAGCTTGTAATCATTGATGAAGCAATGAAAGTCATAAATTTGCTGCTGAAGCTGTTGCCGGTTTTTAATGTGAAATTTTGATTCAGTAGATATACTTTCATTGCTACATTAGTAATGAAGGTCAGCAGCACACATTTTAAGTCAATATAATAACAAATGTCCTCTAACACTGTACACCACACTCCACCTCTGCTGATGTAGATTGTACTGCTGGAGAAATCTGGGAGATGTGGGGGTTGGTTGCGCTCCATACGGAGAGATGATGGGGCCGTGTTTGAACAGGGACCACGAGGGGTGCGACCTGCAGGTTCTGTCGGCCGGAACACTTTGAATATGGTATACATATTGAATTTATGTACATGGCCATGGAGAAATCTATATGAATTTATGTACATGGCCATGGAGGACTCTATGTGAATTTATGTACATGGCCATGGAGGACTCTATGTGAATTTATGTACATGGCCATGGTGGAATCTATGTGAATTTATGTACATGGCCATGGAGAAATCTATGTGAATTTATGTACATGGCCATGGAGAAATCTATGTGAATTTATGTACATGGCCATGGAGGAATCTATATGAATTTTAGAATTTAAATTCACATGATCACATTCATGTAATATCTGAAATTATTATTGGTTTGGAAAATCAGTTACCACCAACTTAACAAAAACGTTGGGTTGTACCTGTACTGTAAAAATTACTATAACCCTCATGGCTCATTGCTTTTAGAAAATAGGGAGTCAACAGGAATATTCAGTAAATAGTTAAGTTTTATAATAATAAACATAATCAAGTATTATTTTCAGAAGGAAAATTTAATTGAATATTATCATTAATTTTCAGTCGACTTTATACAAGAATTGAGTTAGAATTGAGTTAGTCTTTTTATAAGAATTTATCAATATCACTCAGTTTGAGATAATGTTAGTTTTGGCCATTGTTATTGTTGTTCCTTGGCATAGCCACAAGAGGGCAACCATATATTTATAGTCATTAGCAGATGCTTTCTTCCTAACAAATGAAGAATATCACAAATTATAGTAAAAGCCAACAATATAGAAAATAAAAAAGAAATAGTTTCCCCCCTTTTTTCCTTAGGATTTTTTTCTATTATAGGAAGTGCTGTAAAAAAAAGTAATATTATGAAATGTTGTTACAATTAAAATTGTTTTCTATAATAATACATTTTAAAATGTCACTTATTCCTGTGATGACAAAGCTGAATTTTCAGCAGCCATTATTTATGAAGTAATTCTAATATGCTGATTTTCTGCACAAGAAACATTTTGTATTGTTATCAACCGTGATACAGTTTTTTTTTTTCAGGATCCTTTAATGAATAGAAAGTTCAAAAGAACATTATTAATTTGTAATAACATAAATGTTTTTACTGTCACATTTGACCAATTTAATATGTCCTTGCTAAATAAAATAATTTAAAATTATAAAACGTACTTACCTCAAACGTTTGTAGTGTAGATTGCAGTACCTAAAGACGGTGCTATGCCAATGCTATATATTATTCAACCTCTGTTTATTCCTACTATTATTTAAATTTCCTTAAAGGGGTCATATGATGTGATTTAAATTGGTAAAAATCGAGGCGTTTCAGAAAGGCGGGGCATAGAGGAGAAACAATAATGTACAGTATGTGGAAAATAATGTTTTTTGAATCTTAAACCGCATAAACACATTTCATTACACCAAATACACCAAATAATGTTCTTTTTAGCAACATCATATGACCCCTTTAAATATGCATTATTTACTCTGATTTACCTGAAGTACCTTGAGGAAGAGTGAAACTGCATTCCAGGAGACAGAAAAGACTGTATTTACAATGTACCTTTCCTCAGGCTTTTAAAGATTAATGCTTATATTTATGAAGAAGGAATATTCTAGTTATTGTTTTCTTGTGCCACCAAATACACCAAATAATGTTCTTTTTAGCAACATCATATGACCCCTTTAAATATGCATTATTTACTCTGATTTACCTGAAGTACCTTGAGGAAGAGTGAAACTGCATTCCAGGAGACAGAAAAGACTGTAGGCTGAAGGCTTTTAAAGATTAATGCTTATATTTATGAAGAAGGAATATTCTAGTTATTGTTTTCTTGTGCAGGTCTCTGAGTTGGGTCTTGAGTCTGAAATCCTGCCTGTTACAAAGGATCATGTGGCGTCTAAGAACCGCTTCCTGTATGTGAAGGGACAGCTGCACAAGATGCCATCGGGACCAGGGTGAGAAGAAACTCCACTCTGTGTGCAGTTACCTATTTTAATTCATAAATATTCCTTATCTTGTTCTCCTTTCCTCTAGTGGGGTTATCCGCACCATCCCTCCTTTCTCTCGACCCATAATTCAGAGCGTTCTGAAGGAGGTACTGATCAGGAAAGGGACAGAGGAAGATGAATCTGTGCATGCGTTTGTGTCCAGACGAATGGGTTCTGAGGTGAGAACTAGCATGGAGACTCAATGACCTGTTAAACGATCCATGCTGTCCTTGTCCTGTACGACGTGCTTTGCTGTAATGACAAATCAGTCTCAAATGTGTAGCGACAGGAGAGAATCTGAAACTGATTCAGGCCACCTGATTGTCTCTCTCCATGCAGTTGGCGGATATAGCCATAGACAGCCTGTGTAGAGGAGTTTTTGCTGGAGACAGCAGACAGTTGAGTGTACGGTCCTGCTTTCCACCTCTTTATGAAGCAGAGCGGTCTCGGGGCTCCATCGTGCTGGGCATGCTGATGGGTTCAGGTGAGGGCGCAGAAGGGCCAGTAGGTGTAAACCTAGTGTTCACCTAATCTGTTTTTGTACTTTCTTTTTTGCCACCATGCAATGCATTAATATGACTTTGAATTTATATTTGCTTCTTTTAAGGAGCATTTCAGCTAAATGTTTAAGACAAATGTGAATCCTTTTGGCCTATATACTGTATATTAACAATAATAATAATAATATTATAATAATTATCATTAACAATAATACTGAAAAATAACAACAACAAAATAATTATTGATATTTTTTACAAAACGTGTTGCTAAATAGTTTAAAATTGTTTGAAATTTTGTTGTCACTTTTGATCAATTTAATGTAGCGCTATGTAATGTATTATCAATTGAATGGAAATATATATCCAGTATAGCAACTGTTAATATTGTATTCGCAATTCGCATATAATGATGACATTACGTTATGATATTTATATATTCATGGTTACACCTTTAAAAAACATAATGCATTTTTTTTTTTTTATTGAAAAATGTTGGGAAAATAATTTTTTATATTTGTTTATCATTAATAGGTAATACATTTATCATGTATTTTAATCATGATTGCAATTACTTATGGATAATTTATGTTTATAATTATTTATTTCATAGATTTAGGATTTTGTTGTTTATTATAAAGACTTTAATATACCTTTTACAATGCATAATTGATCAGATTTCATAGAAAGTGTTACTGATTAATGTTTGTTTGTTTGTATTTATATTATGTAAGGAGGTGGTCCTAAAGTAGTCTCTTCTGACTTGGCAAAGAGAGCATCTAAAGAGTCCTGGACTCAGTGGTCTCTTAAAAGAGGCATGCAGGCATTCCCAGAGGCCTTGGAGGACATGCTGAAGAGACGAGAACGAGTGGAGCTTCATCATCATGCCAAAGTGAAGAGTCTGAATATGAACGGTGGAGGCTGGGAGGTGAGATGATGGCCCAGCAGGAAGACATAACATATTTTGACATTCAACCTAGATGGACTGACTCAATATCTTTTAGTCCATCAGTTATGATGAAGAAACTGAGTGTTGTTTAACTAGTTTTTAAATATATATTTTAAATAGATCAAACTAGATGATGGCATCTCTTTGAAAGCTGATCATGTGATTTCTACGCTACCTGCATCAGGTAAATTCACTCATTTTACAGTGGTGTACTCCAATGTTTCCTATTCTGGTACACAACATTTGTTTGCTTCATTTGAAGTCTAATTTAGTGAGTTTATTTAATGATTGATACAAGCTGAAAAAAGTCCAATAGAAATGCATTTACATTTACATTTACTGTGTGTATTCTCACGTTCAATTCACATAGCGAGTTCCCAACTGAAGTTAAGTGTGATCACTATTGCTGTGGCGCTGTAGGTTCACACACTGCCAGACCCAGACAACATGCCTATTAATAGAAAGTAGATTTTTACATTAATTTATTTATGTATTTTTATTTAACCAGAATTGGCCTCTGTGCTGCCCCCTGCTGCTCAACACCTGTCGGAACAGCTGCGATCCATCGCTTCTGTAAATGTCGCTGTGGTGAATTTGGAATATGAAGGCTTCATCCTTCCTTTTACTGTAAGACTTCACTCAGTGATTTTAAATACATGAGACAAAAAATAATGTAGGCCCCTAAACCATTAAATACTCAAGTCTGGTTGTTTTGTTCAGTTCATATTCTCATTGCCTGGAAGATCTTTCCTAACTGTACATACATCAAAGCACTTTATGCATGTGTAGGCATTTTTAATATTGAGTGTGTTTGTATATGTGCACATGCTCTAAATATTTCAGGGCTTTGGACATTTGGTGCCTTCCTCTGAAGATCCTGGTCTGTTGGGGGTGGTGTACGACTCTGTTCCCTTTCCACAACACAATCGGAGTGGAGGATTGACCACTAGACTGACGGTGAGACTGACCTCTCATTTACACTAAGGTTTTTTCTACCTTCTACATTCAGTAGATTTTTTTTTTGTAAGAAATGAATAGTTTTATTCTGCAAAGACACCTTAAATTTGCCAAAAGTGACAGTAAATACTTTTACATGGTTACAAAACAGTAAAAAGCAAAAAGTAAAGCAGCACAACTGTTTTCAACAATGATGATAATAATAAATGTTTTTTGAGCATCAAATCAGCATATTAGGATGATTTCTGAAGGATCATGTTGTGACACAGAAGACTGGAGTAATGATGCTGAAAATTCAGCCTTGTCATCACATCACATTTTAAAATATATTAAAGTAGAAAACCGCTATTTTAAATTGCAGTCTTTTTTCACTTTTTTATTTTAATTTATTTATTTTGCAATTTTTATCAAATAAATACAACCTTGGTGAGCATGAGACTTTTTTTTTTCAAAAATTTTACCATCCCCAAACCTTTGAGCAGTAGTGTACAGTTTATTGCACACTATCCACAAAATTATGATTTTGTAGGTTTTTTCATAGGATATTATTGTGAAATGTTTATTATAAAATATTTTATTATTTTTATTATAAAATAAAAGTTAAAACATTTAGGTGAGGACAAGGCTAAAAATAGGAAATCTGGTGAAATGAAAGTAACACTTTTAAAAATAAATAAAAAAATACATAAAGAAACAAAATTAAAAACGCATTGGTGAATATTTGCCGGTTTAGAAAATGAACCTGATGCTCTCAAAGGTCTCTGGAGAGATGCGTCTCTAAACCAATAGCCCCATCAGCGATTTGTGAGTCTCTGACATGAATTCTTCTCCCTTCCCCTTTTAGGAACATATTACATGCGGTAATAAAAATAGCATTCGGTACTCTGTGGTCCTCACAACAACAAAAATTGCCATTGCATTATTAATTTCTCACCCACTTAAATCATTATTAATTTAATAGTTAGATGTCCTTTGCTTAGAACATGTTGTTTTTCCCCTGCTTGAAAACATCTATATAGTCGAGAGGCCAAAAACTTCTAGATTCAGAGTGCCATTAGAGGAGCTGAAATATGCTTTGAGCAGTGTTAGCAACCTGAATAACATAATGCAACTCCCTCCAGCTGGGGAATCCGTCCTGTGAGTGGATGTTATGAGGATGATCCAGCTGTTATCATCACAGTAGCCATTTCTGTGAATGGTGTTATTTTCTAGTGTAATTACTAGCAGTTTGTGTGTGTGTTTGAATGAAGGTGATGATGGGGGGCGCGTGGTTTGAGCAGACGTTTGGTCATCCTGATTCAGTGACGAAGCAGACGCTGTTGGATCGAGCCACCCAGGCTGTGACCTCTCACCTGGGCGTAAACTCTCAACCTGTATGGAGCTGTGTCGCTTTACACAAGGTGAGACTATGTGTTTAAATAAGGCAAAAAGCCATTGAGGCTGTGCATTACAGTGATTTTACAACAGGTGAGGGGTGTGTTGTGCAAAGTGGTGTGCCTAAAACCCCACATTCTCTGTAAACATGGCCTTGAGTAGCTTATTGCTATTATAAAATATATGCAAGTATAAAATAAAACGACATAGGCTCATTGGAAATACATGCCTCTACCTACATTTCAGCAAAACTCAAAAAACGTTCTTATTCATATGAATCGCTGCAGTTTGAAATGAACACATGAGGCAGTAAAACTCCCACAACTTTTATTCCTTTTCACACAAAGTATGATTTGCAGGTTCACAGTTTCGATTATTTGAGGAATATTATGTTATGAATTCAAAACAATTTTAAGATGCTGCGAGATTTGAAAACTGGTGCATTTGAAGGTTAGCGTCACATATCCAGCTTCATATGCATGAGTTTTCAAATTCAGTAAGTTTGCTCTGTAGCTCACGCGATACGGCGTTGCACTTAAAGGGTTAGTTCACCCAAAAATGAAAATTAGCCCATAATTTGCTTACCCTCAAGTCATCCTAGGTGTATATGACTTTCTTCTTTCAGACGAATCCAGTCGGAGTTATATTAAAAATTGTCTTTGATCTTTCAAGCTGTTTCATGGCACTCAGCGGGTGTTGCATGCTTCCGTCCAAAACAAGTTAAATAAAAAGCACCCATCCATTAAAAAAAAGTGTCTCACACGGCTCCGGGGGTGAACAAAGGCCTTCTGTAGCGAATCAATGCGTTTTTGTAAGAAAAATATCCATATTCAAAACGTAATAATAACTTTAATGTAGCTTGTGCTCACTGTTGTAAAGGGAAGCAGTTCCGGGCGGATGACGTATGGAAGTCGGCTTTGCAGCTTCAGTACAAACCCCATCAAACTACGGTTCAACAAAACAGCTCAAATCCGCATAAGGAAGTTAAAATAGCATGGCTGCATCAACAAATGCATTTTTATATCACTTTTGCATTTGTTAACACTATCGGGTAGGTTTAGGGTTGGGTTTGGTGTAGGGGATATTTCCAACACGATACAGCATTAACTTTTAGCGACACTCCTCGGATATTTGAATTATGAACCACCGCAATACGTACCTGAAGCAACGTAATACAAACACAGCAATACGTGCCTATATCAACATAACAAAAACGTGCCATGGTCACGTATTGAACCCGCGTTTTAGCGCCACTCACTGGACCTTTGAAACTGCCGCGAAATGTGCAGTAAGGTACGTAATAACGGTGCTGCAGAAATGTTTTTAGAGGCACGTATTTCGAATGAGCCTGGGATGAAATAAAAAGATAAAGATATACTGAAGTGTATTTGATTGTGCTAAAGTGGAACTATTGCAAGTATACTTCAGGTACACTTTAAACATTTGGCATTTAAATACTGATATTATTAAAAAATCATATAATCCTCATCAATAGTACCCCAAATAAAGTTTAATTATAATTTTTGTATCAGTAAGTCTCGAGGGATTTGTCAGTAAATATGTTAATAGATTCTATACTTAGTATGAAATAAATTTATTTAAAATATATTATTATTTTACTAGGGAACCACTGTTAATAAATTGTTACATATACATATTCATATACATATTCATGGTTTTACATTTTCATAAACTGTAATTTAGAAAAAATTTATAAACATGTATGTATGTATGGTATAATGTAATCTGTGAATATACCCTGATGTTGGTTGTTGCTATTATGAAATGGTGGCAAATTGGAAGATGTCAATGTTCTATAAATTATAATAATAATAATAGCAACTCAGCAGGCTGTGATCATCGTTGTCTGATTCTCCTTTTCATGACTGGTCATACATTTTCATTTACATTTTTGTCTTGATCTAATAACCATGGACTTCCCATGAAAGACATCATCTTGATGGCAGTATATATCTCTGAGTCTGTACAATCCCAATATATGCCTCCATGTCAATAGTACCTTCACACAGTATGAAATAAATTTATTTAAAATATATTATTATTTTACTAGGGAACCACTGTTAATAAATTGTTACATATACATATTCATATACATATTCATGGTTTTACATTTTCATAAACTGTAATTTAGAAAAAATTTATAAACATGTATGTATGTATGGTATAATGTAATCTGTGAATATACCCTGATGTTGGTTGTTGCTATTATGAAATGGTGGCAAATTGGAAGATGTCAATGTTCTATAAATTATAATAATAATAATAGCAATAATACAACCCCAATTCCAGAGAAGTTGGGACATTTTGTAAAATGCAATAAAATCAAGAATCTGTGATTTGTTCATTCTCTTTAACTTTTATTTAACTGACAAAAGTACAAAGAAAAGATTTCCAAAGTTTTCACTGACCAATGTAAATGTATTTTGTAAATATGAAAAAATTTTGATTTTGATGGTTGCAACACACTCCAAAAAAGTTGGAACTGAGGCATGTTTAACACTGTGTCACATCAACCTTCCTTTTAATTACA